AAAAAAAAAAAAAAAAAAAGTAAGTGCTGTCAGATGTTCCCAGTGTACAGCTCCAGGAGCTGCATTTATGGAGTGTGTTCTGTTTAACAGCTGGATGAAATAAATCGTTTCATGTGCCGTGTTGGAGGACTCTGCACTCTCAAATCAAGGCCAGAAGCAGCTCAGTGACTGAGGAATTGTCAACATCTTGTGCAACCCCACTAAGTGCTGCTTCTCATTGATCTGCAACTTCACTGCTGACAATTAAATCCCTTTCAGCGCAGAGGATAAACATTTGTAAAGGGAGGCAGTGAAACCTTTTGTCCTGAATGRATTTCTTCTCTGTTTCTTAATGAAGTACCAAGTGTGTCACCAGCCTTGCTGAATACCTGCTCACTGTGGAGTGGTTGCTCTCAGCAGACAGAGCTTCCAGGAGTTGAGCCTTCCAAGGCACGCTCTTCATTTGCATAATCAAATGCTTTGTTCGCGTCCTAAGAAATTAGGATGAAAGATGGCTGTGTGCTAAAAATGAGGGATTGTTTTTAGGGAATTTCATGTATCCAGGGGAGCAGCCAAGCTGCTCTGGGGCCCTCTGCAGCACCCACAGTCTCCTCCCTCCCTGGCAGAGACAGCTCCTGTCACCTCCCTCTCCTCATCCAGGTACTGCCCTGACCACTGTCTAATCGRTATGAAATGGACAATCAGGGCTTAAATCCGATTAATCATTTCAAGCCTTATAAAAGTGCTTGTTGGAGTGAACCTGCCAGAGCTGGGTGGGTCTGTCCTGCATTCCATGGCTCCAGAGATGTCCTGGGGTTTGTGTTGGTTGTGACAGTTTGTACCAACTCCCCACTTACCCATGGAAAAGATCACTCAATGGTTTTGAATGATCTGAGGTTTTATCTTGCATTGAGAAGTAGGGAGAAAATTTGAGTTAGGCAAGAGGTGGTGTTGTCGGAAGAGTTCAACTTACCAAAGTAATGAAAGAAAATTAAATCTATTTTTTAATTAAATGATGCTATAAAATACTTCTTTGGTAGACTGAATGCTCAGCAAAACACTGAAGACTTCTGTAATTTTCCTACTTTGCAGTGAGGACTGTGAGCTTAATCCAAAACTTTCCTCTCAGAAATGTGGAAAATTCAGTGTTGGTTCTAAGCTGATCTCTGAAGTTTCCTGAGTGCTCTCAGGCCGGGTGTGGAGAGGCTGAATCCTGATGCAGACAAGAAGTGACAGGATGACACTCCAGAGCTGGCTGTTTGCCCCCTGGACGTGGAAAAGTTGGATGATTTTATGTTSAGAAAAAAAGTTTGGCCACTGTAAGTTTGACATCATGCTGAGGGGATTCCATTCCCCGAGTGCCTCAGGTCAGGGGTGCCCAAGACGCTTGGGACTGGCTGGGCTGGCGGTGGCCATGGGACACCCTGTGCTGGCTCTTGGCACCCTCTGTGCTGTTTCAGATGTGGTGACACCACCTGCAAACAGCTCTTGACCCGGCAGAGTGAGAGGCCCTGGGAATGTCACATTTGTGGGATTCCAACAGGGCCTTTTTGTCACTGTAGAACAGCTGGACATCGCCTTGTGGCTGTGGCATTCCCAACTAGCCATCCCTGGCCAACCTTCAGCTCTCTGGAACCACCCAGATGGGACAGAGGAGCCAGAACGCAGAGTTKAGGTCAAATTTTACTGGTTTGCATGTTAGGGAGAGAGATAATGATGGAAASCTGCTTTTTACCTGTATTTATTCTACAAATCCGTGTCTGCTGGCTCTCCCAGCTGCAGGGTCTCTCTGGGTCACCTGAGTCACCTGGGTTTCTTACAGATGTCCCCAGGGTGGCCTTGGCTGCTCCCTGGTGGGATGGAGCCAGCCCAGTGCTGGTCACACACAGCAGGGTTKTGTRAGTGACTGGAGTTCCAGAGTGCTGRTTGTGRGTAAAGTGAAAAATGGAGGAATTTGACATTTAAGGCACATCAAGGAGCACAGGAAAAGAAGATTATGGCAGCTGCATTTCCTGTCTGGAAARGCTCCTCAGTCCTTATGCCTTTATTCCTTTTCCAGTGAAAACCTGGCTGCTGCAGTATGCAGTATCAGCCCAGTGGAGGAAGGGCAGTCTGTGTCGTGGAAGTGACACCACAGTCACTGCTCCCCTGAATCCCAGTGCAGGAATTTCACTTTACCCAAAACTGAGCATGGAAAAAACCAGCACATAAAGTTAGCTTGGTGCTTGCTGAGCCGGCTGGAGATGGACTCCTCTGATGATGCAAGTTGGGTTGGCTGTGTCACGGTGACATTAAAGGGTTTTTTCCCCCAGAATTCTTGCCCCAAGCCAGTCCATCAGGGTAGGGGAAGAGCAATCTTGTCTGTGTGAGCTTGAAGAGCTGGTGGTGAAAATGGGAGCACTGCTCAGGAACCCTGAGATTGGTGGTGTTTATCAGCAAGGGGGGATTCCAGCTCCCCAAATAAGCTGGATTCAGTGGGATGGAGAATGGGCTCTGATTTATACACCAGCATTATCAGCCAGGCTGGGCTGCGTGTGCTGAGGCTCCAGGACAGCTGGCACTGGGCTGGGGCACAGAGTGGGTGCTCTGGTGTCATGCTGGGAGAGGGAGAGCCCACAGGAGACTTTGGGAATGACATTTATTTTACTGCGTGCAGCATCTTCAGTGCAAACTCGCAGGGGTGGTACTTGAGGGCTGGGCAATGGGGATGTGAGCAGCAGCAGCAAGTTCCCAGGAGCCAGGGGCATTCCCAGCCCTTTCCTCCTGGGGAGGAGGAGTAGATCCCCAGCACTGAGTTGTGCTGGATAAATCCTACACAGGTGAGAAGCTAAAAACCAAAGGAAAGGGTTTAAGGAATGCACTGAGTGCAGGGTGTTGACTGTAGGTTTGGAAGCATCACTTCTGCACGATTTCCAGACCCACCTGCTGGAGCCATGTAGTGTACGGCATTTCTAGGGATGAGCCCGAGTCCTCAAAGCCATTGTGTAAAAAAAACCCAAATCTTGTAAGTCTTCCACCCAAAAGGACTGAGAACACAGATTCATCTATTCCTGGACAAACTGTCGCTCATTTCTCTCCACCTTGGGCACCTGCCTTAACTGGAAGTGTTCAAAAACCATGTGGATGTGGTACTTGAGGACATGGTTTGGTATGAACATGGTGGTGCGGATGGATTGAAATTGGTGGTCTTAAAGATCATTTCCTACCTGAACCATTCCGTGTGAAGGCCCAGAGCTCACGTGGAGTTTGTTCCCTCAGTGGATCAGTGATGATGATAACAATGGTGGAGAACAGCAGCATTAACAGGGTCTCCCTTCTCTGCCGTAAATAAACCTTCTCTGGTTTATTTTGCGGGGAGTTACCGAAGAGAGGATGAGAGGCAGAAGGGTTTGATTCAGTTTCAGGTTGGCCTGGAGAGTCCTTGATGGAAACAGAACTGAACTGCAGTGACTCTGTGTTTGCCTGTTTGTCTCAGGTTTAACCCTTTTCTCTCTCTGTTGTTGCAGATAAAGATTTGGGAGTGGGCGCTCTCGCTGACAATGACGACCCTGGTGCTAGGGGCCCGGCCGTGCCCAAAATATCAGGACTAGAAAGGAGCCAAGAGAAGAGCCAGGACAGCAGCAAAGAGCCAATCCTCGAGCCCGTGGTGCCTAAAGAGCCCTGTCCCCGGGTGACGCCGCCATCGCCGGAGCCGCCTGAGGGCCGCTGCCCCAGCCCCTCGCTCGCCCCGCGCCCGGAGCCCCCGGCCCCTCCGCCCGGCCCGGCCGTGCCGCTGCCCCCGGCCCCCGAGGAGCCCGGCCGCCCTGCCGCCGGCCAGCCCTGTGCCCAGCCCTGCGCCCAGCCCTCCGGCCAGCCCTGTGCCCAGCCCTCCGGCCAGCCCCCGGCCGGTCAGCCCCCGGCCCGGCCGCCGTCACCGCTGCCCCCGGCGCACCCGGCGCTGCCCGCGGTGCAGCCGCACCCGCAGAGCCTCTCACAGCCGCTCTCCGCCTACAACAGCAGCAGCTTGAGCCTCAACAGCCTCAGGTAGGTGCCTGCAGTGGGCCTGAGGGGGATTGGGTAAAGGACAGGAGTGACAGCGCAGCCCGTCCCATCCCGGGAAATGAACGGGGCTTCGTGCATTAAACCCAYTCCTCCCCTGAGGTGAGCCAGGATTGCTCTCTCTGTGACCCAATGATCCTGGGAACTGTGCTTGGTTTAAGTTCATTTGCTTTGGATTTTCCTGTCTGTTGGCTTTYTGGAGGGGATTTTGCTCAGTATAGGTCAGGGGAAGAACAGTCCAGTTCTGCAGGCTGGGCTGCTCTCTGAAGGCTGACTCTTGTGCTCTCCCATCCCTGTAAATGCCCCATTTCTGGAAGCRCTGCTGTGCCCCAGAGCAGGTCCAGCTGGTGCCATCCCAGCCCCAGCAGTCACACCCCAGGCCCGTCACAGCTCCGGGCACTTTGCAGCCTCTGGTGTTTTTCTCTCAGCTGGCCACGGTGAGATCAGCCTCATCTTTTACCAGGGGATAACAAAGGTGAGCAGAGAGGTTAAACACCCCAGTGTCCACAGGATCCCTGTGATGTCCCTCTGAGACAGGGACATCGGGTTTCTCCTCTGTGCTGGGTTGTGGTTCTCCAAATCCGAGTTCCCAGCAGGCAGATGTGACCCTGASGACCTGGGGAAGCAGCACTGTGCTTGCTTCATGGTTTGACTAAAGGCTGAGAGGTGTTTASGATTTGAATTTATTTGTAACCAAGCTGGTATGGCTTGTCTTTAAAAGTCACTGCAATAGAAGCAGGTTGTTACTTGAAATAAACACAAGGAGAATTAAGCCTTACATGAATGTATTTTAAATACTCACTAGCAGGAAATGAAATCTGAAAAATTGCAACCAGCGCAATCACAAATACTTCTGTGGACTTGTCTTATCTCATTTTATTGTGGGGGAAGGGAGGGGCATCACCTCTGCAATAAGCACAAATCTGTTGCTGCCTTCTCAACTTCATTTCACATTTTCTGCAGTCTTTTATCTTACTAATTCATAGCAGAAAAAAAAAAAACCCTAAATTTTTAATAATGATTTTGAGCTTCATTGGCCTGAAAACATGAATCAGGAGCAGCCAAGTAGAAGGGACCTGATAATTAAGTAATGAATGCACAGGACTGATTGCTCCCTTTTTTCTTGGAGGACAACACCAACCTCTCACAGAGAGGGAGAACAGGGCTCAGGTGTGGAGGGACATGGGGAAGTCAAAGTTGACAGGGAAGGTGCAACATATGGCTGGAGAAAGGGGTGGGGCTGGAAATGGTCACTGGGTTTGTGACACACGTGATGTGTTCGATGTGAGGGGCTGCTGAGGCTCTGTGGGAGCTTTTCCCTCTCCCTACCAGTCCTGATGGCTGGGGTGTGTTGTGATGCCTAAAACAAGGCTCATCTGAAACAGAGGCCAGACAAACTCAAGAGAATAAAAGCAGACAAATTGAATCCAGGCCTACTGGTGCATTGAGGGCAGACAAAGCCTCCTCCTGAGGCTGCACCCAAAATGCACCTCAAGTCACGAGATCTTCACCTTTTATAAGTTCTGTCTCATTAACATATCAGGCCCCAGTTCTCCAATGACACCTTCAGGTGATGATGCCAACCACCCCAAACTTGCTCCCCACAATTCACCGTTGTTTACAGATTCTGGGGCTCTGAGGCAGCAAAGTGTCCTTGGATTTCAGGCCCAGAGAGGAGCTGCTTTGTCTAAAGATGGGAGAACAGGAACTTTAGAGCAGTACACTGGAGGAGTACAAGAATACCGATACATGGAAATATATAAGCTAAAAATCCTAAGGCAGCAGTTGGGGTTTTCCCCCATCCCTCCCAGCTCTGTTGGCTGGGGCTGTGTCAGGTTTTCCCCCCTCCCTGCCAGCCCTGATCCTTAGGGCTGTGTCAGGTTTTCCCCCCTCCCTGCCAGCCCTGATGGTCCCTCCGTGTCCTGTCGTTCGCAGCAGCAGCAGGAGCAGCACCCCCGCCAAGCCCGCGGCGCCCGCCCCGCACATCTCGCACCACGCGTCGGCCTCGCCRTTCCCGCTGTCCCTGGCCAGCCCCGGCGCCCTGCACAGCTTCCCACCCGCCCTGCAGCCCCCCGCGCACCCACACCACCCCAATATGTTCGCCCCGCCCGCGGCGCTGCCCCCGCCACCGCCGCTGACCTCGGGTACGCTGCAGGTGCCGGGACACCCGGCCGGGAGCACCTACTCAGGTAAGGGCTACCCCAAAGCGGGGCCATCCCTGGCTTTGGGCACAGTAACGGGGCTTTGGGGCTGTGGGGGGGCTCTGGGTGGGGAGAGCTGGTCTCACTGCTGAGTGAAGTGACAGCAAAGCCAAGAAACCCCTGGACATTCCCAGGGATCTTCCCCCTGCTCTAGGGGTGGCTGCTTTCAGAAGGCATTGGTTTTCGTCAGGTTTGTGTCATTCGAGTGAAAGCACAGAGTTCCCGATGTGCTCACACAGAATCTGTGACCCCCATGGTAGAAGGGCTCCTGCAGCTCYGCTCTGTGCCCAGAGAAGCTCCCCTGGCTCTAGGGAGGGTCAGGGCTGGCTGTGCTCACAGCACCCACTGGTTTGCTCCCTCCAGCTTGTTCCTACATCCTTACCTATTTAGGATTATGTCCATGTCCATAAATGCTCAGAGGAATGTGCAAACAGGCTTGGTGAGAGGGGAAAGGGAGACTTCATAATGTCTCAGGCCGCTGAGGAAGATCTGAGGGAGCTTTCTTACCCCGTACTGTGTCCTGATTTATCAGCAGGAAGTTTTAAATGAAGCCTTGCTATCACAGACAGCAAAGGAAGAGGCCCAAGGCCCAGAAAAGCCCCAGAACTCACAGGGAGTTGTTTTATTGTTTGTTTTCCCCCCGTATTCAGCACTGGTTAGGRCATCTTGGGTGCCGTGCCCAGTTCTGGGTGCCCCCAATTTAGGAAGGATGTGGTGTGCCCAGAGAAAGGAAACAAGGCTGGCGAAGGATCTGAAACACAAGTCCTGTGAAGAGTGGCTGAGGGAGCTGGGAAAGGGGAGAAAGGGGAGAAAAGGGGGATCGGGGGACCTTGTGGCTCTGCACAACTCCTTGACAGGAGGGGGCAGCCGGGGGGGTTGGGCTCTGCTCCCAGGGAACAGGGACAGGAGGAGAGGGAACGGCCTCAGGCTGGGCCATGGGAGACTCAGGCTGGACATTGGGGAAAAATCCTTCACAAGAAGAGTGTTGGGCATTGGAGGGGCTGCCCAGACCGTGGTGGAGTCCCCATCCCGGGAGATGTTTAAAACCAGCCTGGARGTGGCACAGCGTGCCCTGGTCTGGGTGACACAGAGGTGTCCGGTCAGAGGCTGGCTTTGSGGGTCTCCAGGGCCCTTCCCCAGCCCGTTAACACCGCCCTGCTGTGCTTGTGTGTTTCAGAGCAAGACCTCCTGCGGCAGGAGCTGAACACGCGGTTCCTGGCGTCGCAGAGCGCCGACCGCGGCGCCTCGCTGGGCCCGCCGCCCTACCTGCGCACCGAGTTCCACCAGCACCAGCACCAGCACCAGCACACCCACCAGCACACCCACCAGCACACCTTCACGCCCTTCCCCCACGCCATCCCTCCCACCGCCATCATGCCGACGCCAGCACCGCCCATGGTGCGTACCCCAGGCAGAAATGTGAGGATAAGTAGAGCACAACTCTCTTCTTTGTTACCAAAGTGTTGCGGAGGTGTTTGCCAGGCGGTGGGGAAGGGCTGCTGTGCTGCCCAGGGGTGTGTGGGCAGGAAAGGCAGGCCTGGCCCTGGGTCACAGAGTGAGAGCTTCAGGTGGCAGTGCAGGACTGAGGGACGAGGTCCCCAGGCACTCTGGGGTCTCCTCCTTTGTCCTGTCCTCCTTTCTTCCTTTGAAGAAAGAAAAGCCCCAAACAGCTTCATTGGAAACTTAATTTTCTGTGTATTTTTTTTCCTCTGTTGGTTGCCAGATAATAGAGAATAGTCTTCTGTTTTGCCAACAGAAGTAAAGCAAGGAAATATAAARTAACTAGTTTGTGCTTTGATCCCTTTGCAGTTTGACAAATATCCTACAAAAGTTGACCCCTTCTACCGTCACAGTGTGAGTTTTATTGCTCTGTTTCCAACTGACTTCACTGCTTTTCTGTGGTGGGTTGGGATCACCACTCGATCAATGGCACAGTGTCAAATCTCTCCCTAATCATCACTCCAGGATTTACCATTATCGTCCTTGGTTGCTTTGGCTTTTCAAGGCTTGCATTCGTGGTGCTTGTTTCTGATAAAGATGCAGTATCAGCTTTTCCAATCAAAAGATCTCTTGCTCACACACCATTTGGAGCCAGGTTTGATGTGAAAAGATGAGACAGGAGAGCTGACTGTTCCACAAAGCAGGAGAGAGCAGTGATTCCATCAYGGTGTTTCAGTCGTGCCACAAACCCTTAGGCTGATATTTTTCCTAAGAAACTTGAAATGAACTGACAAACTCATACAAATCCTTCAGGGATAGATAATCTAATAGTTTTCCCAATCTATCGTATTTTGTTTGATAACGTCTGAAAACCTGTCTTATTATTCACATTTCAAAGGCTCATCTGATCCACTGGGCTTGTTATGTTTTGAAAGCTCTGTTTGATGACAGCARCATGAATCCAGATATGCACTAGATGTGTTTGCCTAAGCTACCAAAACCGTTACTTATCGAGATGAGCTGTTTTTAAAATTCCCCTTAAGTGTAAAGCTTCTGCTCCTAAGGGTCTGAATCTACTGAYTGATTTGCTGCTGTGCTCTGGGTTGTATTTTCTTCATCCTGTTGGCAGAGGAAGGTGTCTGGCAAGAGTTTCTTAATCCAAGAGCAATATTTTGATGAGAGAAGGAGTACTGCATCAGCACTCAGAAATCTGCAGAGCATTTGGCTTCATKTGTTGGTTTTGCTTAGAAGCGGAACTGGGCAAAAAAAACTGGTTAAAATGATGGTGTCTGGAGCAAACTCAGCCCCTGCTCACAGCCTGTGCRGCCCCTGAGCAGTGCTGTTCATGTCTGGCACCTCATTTGGGTGGCTGTGGATATGGAGGAGTGTTTGCAGGATCAGAGCTCCAGGAGCACAGAACAAACATTGCCACTCTCGCTCCCAAGGGCTCTGCTGCTCCCTTGTAGCAGTGTTCAGTGACACTGGGATTTGCTGAGCTGCACATGGATTCAGGAGGTGATGGATTGTCACTGTGGCTCACAGCAGGAACACAGAATTGGGAGATGGGACATGGGTTTCACACAAATAAAGCACACGAGTTGAGTTGGCAGTGTCAGGCAGGAAGCAYTGTAGAATCTCCAGCTGTATCTGCTGTTCCAATTCAGTCAAATACTCTCAGAAATCTGGGAGTGACCTGGGTTGTAAAGGTCATGGCCTCACMCCCTTTAAGGTCAGGGAAAGCTCCRTGCTGTTCTCCCTTAGCCAGAGAGCCCTGCTGGGGGCCAAGGTACTGATCTGGTCCCCACTGCCTTCCCTGGGGAAGGTTTGTCCTCGGGAGGGGGCTGCACTGTGGTCACTGTGGCACCCTGGTCACTGTGGTACCCTGGTTACTATGGCACCGTGATCCCAGGGGATGCCCGTGGTGGCTGCCCTGGGGGTGACAAGGCCAGGCCAGCCAGGTGTCCCCATGGCCCCACCCCGGGAGCAGCTGCAGGTGCAGAGAGCAGCCCCTGAGCTGGGCTGGGTRCACACCCACAGGGCAGGAGGGCCACAGATACTGTCAGAATGTGGCTCCTGCACAGAGCTCCTCCTAGGGACAGCTTCCACCACAGATCCACTCCAAGAACTCAGATACCTTGACAGAAGCTGGCAGTAAGTGTAGGTGAGCTTTGGAGGAGAACAAGGTCCACTTGAGACTTACAATCCATCTCCTTTGGGACAGGGAATGCAGCTCACATAGAAGCTGAGTTTTAGATAAGTTTTCTTTCTTTTAGCACAGTAAGACTTTGCTTTTACCTCCAGCTGGTGCCAGGGCCRGTTTAGCATCCCACACACCTGGCTGAGGGAAGCTGTGGGCACTGCATGGTTCATTCCCCAGGGAAAGCTGGAAGGGAAAACTGCTGCTCAAAAGAGAAGGAATACTGGGAAAGAAGGAAGCACTTACTAGGAAAGGTGTATTCAGAATTTCACTGATACAAATTAATCATGGAGATACACTCTTTCTGTGTGATTAATAATTCTGACCTTGAGGAAGGGTCACATTTAATTAACTTACCAGTTGTTATAAAACTTTGAGGAAATAATTCCTAATTATTAGTCATAGCCAATAGAATACAAAGTCTTACGTCTTTTCCCATCTCTTAGAATTAGTCCATTACACAGAAAATTAAAGACAGTAGACACTGGAGGATTTAAAGCACATTTTACTCATTAAAAGTTATTGTAAATGAGAACAAGTGTCTCTTAATGGTTTCTCAAATGCCTATAGTTCAGTTTCAACTGATCTCAAAGTGTTTCCTGCACCATTGGACAGAGCAGGTCCAAATTAAATAGAATTAAAAACGTCAGCGAAGTGTTATGAATAGAGGCTCAATACCAAGCTTTTAAACTGAAAAAATCTTCTGACAGCTCTGAAATGTTTTCTCAGCTTTCAGTAAATACAATGTGAATAAATAACCTTGCAAGATAAGCTAGTGGAAGGAAAAATGAAGAAAAGCACACGTGACAGCCTGGCATAACCAAATCCAGGCATAACCAAATCCAGGCATAACCAAATCAAAACTTTGTGGTACTGATTTATTCTGGGATGGGATTTTTTCAGTGTTTTTCCGCCCCTCGTGTCCAGTCTTTGACTTTGCCCAGTCCTGCTTCTGTTCAATTGGCCATTAACTCATTAATTTTGATCTTAAAAGTAGCACACAGTAGCTTGACTTTGCTCAGCCGTGGTCAGAGGGGAATTGGTCTCAGCTAGAGAACCCCATAATATTTTTGGGTGGCRATTCCAGTGGAACTGGCTGCCATCCCCTCCCAGATCCATCCCCTCTTAGATCCAGAGGTTTCATGGTGAGAATGGCTTTGGAGTGGRATGCTTTGAATCCCTGACTCCTGCTAGAAAGCACTTTAGTGTGTGACAGCAGCATTTTCATGGGTTTGGGCAAGTTTTGTGTTACAGCCAGAGCCAAAGGTTCACGGGCAGAGCACAGGGGCAAGGGCAGGTTGGGATGTCATGGTTTATCTTGGAGTCACAGAATGGGTTGGGTTGGAAGGGASCCTAAAACCCATCCATGCCACCSCTGCCATGGGCAGGGACACCTCCCACTGTCCCAGGSTGCYCCMAGMCCCACTGTCCAGCCTGGCCTTGGGCACTGCCAGGGATCCAGGGGCAGCCACAGYTTCTGTGGGCACCCTGTGCCAGGGCCTCCCTACTCTCCCAGGGAACAGTTTATTTGTTTAATTTACCTSCTCATTTCCCTTGTGTTTGGCTGCATTAGCACAGAGCAGCTTTTTGTGGGGTTTTTTTCCCAAATTCTCTCAGGRCAGTGCTGGGGTCAGGGAGGTCAGGGGAGATGGGCCCATTTTTGTGCTGAGCAGTCTCTTTGTAAAAAAGTCCCTTACATTTCTGGGAGGTTGTGCCTTAATATTTTGTTTAAATACTAATATTTAACAAATCAGATTGCCTGTCTGCTAATATTAGATGTGGCAGGATATCCTCTCAGACAAGCTAATGAAGTAAAAATGGTGCATATTTTCCTCATTTCCTACAGATACCATTAAAATCCCMCCATACTAATGGAGTTTTAATGATACAATCTCCTAGAACTCGTAAGGGTTTTTTCCTCTTAAACAGGAGATTTCTRAGTCTTACTTAGCTCAGGATTCTGCCTTTTCTGTTGAAACAACTCGCAGACCGAAACCATATGAAAACTCTCTCCAATCTGAATAATTGAGGAGACAACATCTCCCTTCTGCTCTGCTGGCCCAGGGCAGGGACAGGTTCTGGCTGTCTGATTTTGGAACTGCTTTTAAGCTCTAAACCTCATGACATCTGTGAACATCCCATCGACCGCGCTAACTAACATCGTTGCAATGAGATCACATCAATGCTTTTTCTCCATGTAACATTTTCCTGATATTACACAGGAATGCTTTGGTGTCCTCCTCAGCTGCCTGTGCTCACAGTGACCTTGTGTTGATGCTGTTCTCTTTCTGTTGCAGCTGTTTCACTCCTATCCTCCAGCTGTATCAGGTATTCCTCCCATGATCCCTCCCACCGGCCCCTTTGGCTCGCTGCAGGGAGCTTTCCAACCCAAGGTAAGGCAGGAAYGACCTGTTCCTACTCAGATCCACCCTAGGGTTAGCATGTGGTTCACATTCTGGAGCAGTTAGAGCTTGATTTGCAGCTGAATTCCACGGGGGATAGTTGGCTTTTTCCAAATTCACTACAGAGAGAAGTTATTTCTCATTAGGTTCAGGTACATCTGCAAACATTTTTWWAAAAAATTATATATATAATGGYATAGTTAACTTTAGAAGCAATGTAATTAGTTCTGAGATAGTGTGCTTTAATCAMAGGTCATGTAATAATCAGGGTTTTTTAAGAAGCAGTGTACATTATTGTTTACTCATTTCCATAATTCCCTCCCAGCTCCACCACAGTGCAGAACACTGATATGGCTCTCCTGGTGGATGATAGCTGGGAGAGAGAAATGTGACAAGTTCAGGGTGTTTTTCTTTTGTTTTCATGGAGTCACTCTGTTTATCAGTGGGGGGAAATCACAGTCTGCATGCTTTGCAGCTAAAGACTGAAATCAGGAGTGGAATTTCTGCAGAGGAGACACCTTCTTGCTTAAATTGGCCCATCCACTCTAATGACTGAATATGTAAATGGCAGTTCATTAGTGGGATTCTTCGTCTGTATGATAATCAGGCTGTTAACAACTCTGGTACTTAATTGTTAGTTATGCAGGAGCTGATTTCTATTTTCTTCATTTTAACACAGGAACAAGCTCTGTCTAAATGGAGGGGGGTTGGTTTTTTTTTTGTTTGGGCTTTTTTTTCCCCACAAAGCTGTGTTTTTTTTAACTGACTATTTACAGGAAGGGCTTTAATTTTTTTGAACTGGACATTACTTTTCCTGATACCCATTTTGTGGCAGTCCATGTGGRTGGAGTTGAGCTCCTTGTGCAGTGATGTTCTGTGTGCTGAGTGCATCAAGGATAGACAGCAGGGCAGGGCTGGGTTCTCCAAATCCTGCTTCAGATATTGTGTCATCCATGTGTTCCTCATCAGGTTTTTCCCATTAGAAGGTTTTCCAGTTTAAGCAGTCACTGTTCCCTTAGTGGTTTTGATTAAAGCAATGGGAAGTTGGTGGACAATCCAAAGGGTGGATATGGAGTTGATAATAACACTTCTATTCCTGAGTGCATTATGATGGTTCTCCTTTCCTTTATAAAAAGTTCATCTCCGTTGTTTGGCAATGTAGTGATAAGGAATGATAATTTTGCACATTCTGTTGCTGGTAGGCATTGTTACTCTTRTGCAGCTCATTGATGTTGTCTCTCTTTGTGGTATTTCCAGACTTCCAACCCCATTGATGTTGCAGCCAGACCTGGAACGGTCCCACACACCCTTCTACAGAAAGATCCACGGGTCCGTAAAAAATATTTCCTTATTCTCATGTAAATCTGTTCCTCTTGAAAACCTTGAATGCTAGGGCTGCCATTCTCAGTGTGTCCAGATGAACACCCTAAAACTAAAGCTGTTTGGGCTGTTCCAGTCAGTGAGGGCCACAGAAGTTCTGTGGGAACATTTAAAGCAGCCCCTGTGCCATGGCAGAGCTCTGTCCTTGCTGGCAGCTCTTCCCTCCAGGCCCAGGRCTAAAGGTATCAAAGCCCAACAGAAGGTAGAAAATGTACAAAGCTCCCTAAGATCAGTGTTTATGCTCTGTAATTGTTTTTAATGTGGGTAATGACAGCTATTCCCTGGGTCACTGTAGCATCGATTGCCCCAGTGAAATACGGATGCACTTTATCGATCACCTGGTGCCGCTGGCTTTGAGTGCCAGCAGATGTGAGCAGCGTTTCTTGCCTCAGCACTCTGTCTCTCTGCCCCTGGTGTGTTGGTGGGTTTGAATTMGTGGCATTGTTTGCCATGAGGAACTTCACACAGGAATATTTTTAGCCAAACTCTCTGGCAGAAACAATGAGGAGCTCTCCCTAAAATTCCGAGCCGTGGAACAGCTGAACTTCCAGAGCTGTTGTCTTTGTGTTATGCCAAGTTCCAGTGTTTTGGGTTGCTGGGYTCTGGAGCTGTAGTTGGGCTTTATACTAGAAGGATACACATTTCTGTTTGTTTCTCTAAGTGCAGAGATAACCAGGGCCTCCCATCAGGAAGTCATTTAGCTTTATGYTCCCTTTCAACTGGGAGTGAGCTTCGATTATTTCAAGATGATGCATTGTGCCATCACTGCGTCTGCTAAGTACCTTCTGCACCTATAAATCTCCTTTAGTATTGCATTGCAAAACAGAAAATCCAAAACAAATGAGCAGTACCCAATAAATTGAATTATTTCCCCACATTTATTGATGAAATATGAGCAAAAAAGGGGAATAAGAAAATAATCTGCTCAAAAAATCCCAACAGGCCACATCAAAAATAAAAATATAAAAAACTGTGKTTTTTTATATGGGCCCTGTTTACCAACATCTGTTTCAGTGTGAACATAATTAAGGCAAAGCCCATTTATGTCCGAGAAGACCTCGGGCAGCAGTGAGGCACAAAGCTGATGCCATGGCTGGTGGGTGGACACACTGCTGGTGTGCAGGGCATGGCTGACACCCCATCCCAGCCTTACAGCCCATCTGTGGGATCGAGCCCTGTCCACGATCCAACCTTGCCAGGAGCGGAGGGGCTCTGAACTATGAGAACAGGGGTTTGCCCATGAGCTGAGGGGCTCTGAACGATGGAAACAGGGGTTTACCCACAGAACATCTCTGTGCTTCCATCCCTSCACTTAACCAGCCATTTCTGTAGCACTAAATCAACAAATTGCTGCTGCTGCCAGGGCCCAGAGCTCGGTGTGAGCCTGCTGGGGCTGCTGGTCCCCACTCAGGTGCCACAGCCGGGGGAGGGGACAGCACGGATGTGGAGGCTCACCGCTAATTATCATCCGAAAGGGCTTCATTTGAAAGTAAAATTCTAACATTTTAATTTYGTCTCTTAATGAAGCAATACAAATTTGTTAATTAGAGCAATTGTTTGAGTGACAGGCGTGTAACCAAGCTGTCATTTCTTCTTCACAGTTGACAGATCCGTTCAGRCCCATGCTGAGGGTAAGAAATCTTCCTGTGCTCCCGTTCGTCAGCTCGGTTCAGTCCCACTGAGTAATTCCAGCTCGGAGCTGCTGTGGGTCCCCTGGGCTGCCGTGGGTCCCCTGAGCTGTCCTGCTCTGCTTTTGGGGAGGGATGGTCACTCCTGCAGCTCCTCAGCACTCCAGGACAAGGCAGAGCTTCAAAGTTGGAAGTTTTGCTCTGCTCACACAACCCCTCMCATGAATGCTCGAGGTTAAATGTTGATAATCCATCATGGTTTCCTGAGGCCAATCTTGAGATCCTGGCASGGAGTCCCTGGCATTCCACTGCACRCTGCAGGAGTTTGTTATTTTTCTGTGTGCTTTCAGTGTTGCTCAGTGTGGTACATCCCACACAGGTCCACTACAGACAGACAGTCCACTTCAAACACAAAATATTTTAGAAATAAGGATTTAGATGTCCATCTGTCAGTCATCCAAAAGGGTTTTTTGTTGATTTTTCAACATATTCTGGAWGATCCAGTCTTTTATTAGACCAACSAAGTGAACTTACTAAATCACTAGCACAGCCAGTTGCAGTGAATTAACAAAAGGCTTGAGTTTAGGGGAGCATGTCTGTAAGAAAGAGTTTATTTTTAATGATTTAATTACTGGTTGATACTCACCTAGAAATAGAAGACAGACCATGTGCCAGAGTTGGTGAAACATTTAATTACAAGTAGTTTAAGGAGACTCTTGAATTCCTGTGAGAATTTTTTAATCTGCAGGAGTCATTCCTTGTGTGGGTAACCACAGACCCCTAAGTAACAAAACTGGAGAAGGTATATCCTCAAACGAGTCTTTTTCACATAAGGTTTCCAGCTGTGCTGGAAATGGAGCACAGACTCGATAAGGAGGCCTTCCAAGCTCTGGTTCTTGCCTCCCTCTCTCCTCCCTGGGACTCAGAGCTGACAGGAATGATGCAAAGACTGTCCCAAACAGTGAATTGAGTGACCTCCGATRTTTTCAGTGTATTTGTGAGCTGAAAGTCTGAAGGGACAGACCAGCAATTCCATGAGGGAATCAGATGAATTTTGAAAACCAGAGTGACCTTTGAAACCGCTTTAATTTTCATCTTTTGGTGGAAATGYCAGTCTTAGCATTTGTGGAAGTGACCTCATGGTGCAGCTGTGAACAATCCAGCTGTGCAGAGCTGCTGCTGGCTGGGAYGCAGCTCCACAGCTTTCAGCAGCACTGGCTGCACTGCCAGCCAGTGACATCAGAGGTACAGGAGTGTGTAAGACTGGAGCATTCATGGAAATCCCAATAAATTTGTTAGCAAAGGACAAAATCATTTATTTCTAGTTTCCCAAGAGGATGGAGAGAGAAGGCAGTGGAGGGAGAACCTTTGCTTTCAGTTGTCTTGGTGTGGGGATCCCCCAGAGTGGGCTAAGGGGTGGAAGTTCTTCTAGAAATAGGATAAAGCATCAGAGGTRTTGGAAAGGCACTGATGGACATCTTTTGTTTTTCCAGAAACCTGGCAAGTGGTGCGCAATGCACGTTCACATCGCCTGGCAGATCTACCACCACCAACAGAAGGTCAAGGTCAGTGCTTGGGCAGCCTGGATTTTGGGTGAAGGGCTCAGAGCAGAGACCTGACAGGAAGGGTTTGCTGTCCCCTGAGCAGCTCTGGGCCATGGCCAGTGCCTTGTTAAAGCAACCAGAGAGCACTGAGCAGGAGCCTCCTTTCAGAGAGCTGGTGTAAGGATGAAAAGCTGAAGGGGCAGTGCCAGCAGAGTGGCTAGGATGCCTTGGAGAAAGGACAGCAGGTCCTGGATGATAACTGCAGGTTGGGAGCTAGGAGAGCTACAAGTGGCACTTTATTTATTTATTTATTTATTTATTTATTTATTTATTTATTTATTTGTGGCAGAGGACACAAATGTATCAAGATGGAATTTTTTATAAGTCTGGAGAAGCTGGATGTGTATATCCCGTCCCTCTCATTAACGTTCACAGCAGAAGAGGGCACAGGAAGTTTTCTCCTGTCCCTGGGATGCAGGCTCCCACCCCTGTTCTTTCACAACCCCTCCTGGCTGGAGGGTGGCACCTGGGTGTGTCTGGGCAGCTGRGGCARGCACAGCCTCTCAGGGGATGTTATCAGCCACTGYCTCATTGCACTGAAGGTTAAGGGATGAAATCCTGTCTGAATTACTTTGGAAGCTCTGAGACTTCAAGGATCGAGGCTATGGGCAGTTTTCCATCCTTGCTGCAACTGTTTCCCTTGCGTACAGACTCTGGGAAGATTTCTTTCCCTTTATGGTATTTTCACTGCACTTATCACTGAAAAATCTTATGTTGGTCCTGAAGTTTTTCAGTAAGTCAGGAATGGTTGCTGTTCTTCTCTGCTCATACTTCAGGAGTCAACAGCTTGTGTTAGAAACTGAAATGACCAGGGAATCCGCAGCACTCTGCWGTCTGTGTGTGCACTTGTGTTGTGTGAGGTGGTGCTATAAGAATATGAAGATGTTGAACAGCTACAAAAACCTGCAGCTAATAGAGTTTAAAAATAACCCTTTTAAACAAGGTTGACAGGTTAATTTGCTGCAGTAGACATATCTCTCTTCTCTGCTTCCTTATGTTTCCCCTGCTAGTGATCTTCATTCATCTTCCCATTATCAAAAAAGACAAGATTATAGACCTAGAGAGTTATATGCCCTTTTTTTATTTTATTGAAAAGGTATTTTCTTGAAATGAAATTATTATTCCCATGCTGTCTATGTCCTTTGAATCTTCCTTGATTTGATATTCAGAGAGAGGTCAAACCAGTATATTTATAACTCACAGTAAATCCCATTTTCATGCCGCCATTTCTTTTGCCTCGTACTTTTCTACCTTGCATGTTTAAAAAAAAAAAAAAAAAAAACAAAAAAAAAAACAAAACAAAAAAAAAAAGCAGGAATAAAACCCAGAAGCACAGGAAAGGATTTGCTTGAGTTTTTGAGGCTGTACATGATTTTCAAGAATAGTTGAGAAGTGTGGCTGGTTTGTGAGGAGAGCTGGGGAATCCCTGGGTACACAGGAGCTGCGTCCACCCTCCTCATGACATCCCAAAAGTGAAATCTCTGCCGGAGGGCTCACACAGGGCACTTTCTTCTTCTCACCCATGGTTCTGAAGGTGCCTTTCCTTCTGCACAAGCTGAAGGTGCTGCCTGGCCCCAGAGCAGGGAGTCAGATGGTTGATTTGCAGTTCATGCAGTGCCACGAGACTGCTGCCAGTAGCTCTCTGGCCTGGTAATTGCTTGCCGAGGGCAGCAGTGGGCACTGAAGGAGCAGGCAGGGTGGAAATCTTTAAAACACAACCTTCCTGACCTCAGGAAAAATTGCATGCAGCTGTGGATGCTGTTTGGCTGCTGTGCCTCTGCAGCAAGACCTGGGTGACCTCTGCACACCAGGGATTCCACAGGGCTCACACCAGCTCAGGGCACAGAGCACATTTACACTGCTCCCTGCACTGACTGCTGCTCAGGACAGGAGTTATGCTCCATAATTGGGGCTCTCTCCTTCAGGAAAGGCCTGACAGCCTGATCTAACATCAGAGCAGACATTTACATTGATTTTTGTGGGCACCAYGTTAAGGTGTCACACATTTCCTGGAAATACATTAGGAAGGGTTGGCATCAAGGGGGTGCTCCACTGAAGAGCAGCTGGCCATAAAAAAATCCCTGACCATTCCTCCTGGTGCTGTTTTAAGGCAAACCAACGCATTCAGAAATCTTTTAATACATCCACGGTGTTCCTGTTCCTCTTCAGACAGGCGATTTGTTCATTATTTAGAGCTGCCCCATTCATATGGCTGCAATTAAAGCTTCAGCCAGCTTTTGCTATTCTGAGCAATGCCTGTCAGGGGTTTGTAACTTGGTTGTTAAAAGAAGAATAAAAGGAGTTCACAGCATAAAAATCTGGCACACAGGCTTCAACCGAGGCATTTGTATTTTCTGAACTTCTTTTAACTATTGAAGCACTTCAGTGTTACTTTCTTAAAAGGTCTGATCTTAACTTTGCTATTTCAGTATTCTTGCAGGCCATTATCTCCAAACACAGATAATGCCTTTGTTTCTCTTTTTTATTTCTTGTTTTCCTTCTTTTTTTCTTTTTTTTTTGTTCTCATACCTACATATTACTAGCACTAGAAAAACAGCGACTAGGCATGCACATTAATTCGATCATAACTTTTTAATATGCATATTTATATCATTGTAATGGTCTGTACTCGGGGCTGGCACAGTCTTAAATACTGATTTATAAAGCGTAGCCTGCTCCAGAATTGCTGTTAAGATCTGCAGGTTCCATGTCAGCCATTTATAAATCTTTTCAGCTGCCCTGCACAATTAATCAGCAATCTGCATTTAGGGAGTTCTGGCAGTGCAGGTAATTGGGAATTTGGATTTCCTTTTCCTTCATTCTGTAAAACTCCTGAAGTAGGCATGGCTGAAATGAGAATGTGGCACAAAGAAAAGCCTGTCCTTCCTTCCATCCATCACTTATCACTCACAATTCAGCATCCTCAGCAAATTCCCCTCACAAAAGAGGCTGCTGACTCTAACACGTGCAAATAAAGGCACGCAGCACTTGGAGTGTGCAGTGTGAGCTGTCAGAGTGGGGCTCAGACACTCTTCCTCCAGACTCTGGTTCATTTTATCCCCCCATTGCAGAGGGGCGCTGGAGGATCTTCTGCATCCAGCATTATCTCAGTGGCAGCTCCCCCTGGAATGAGTGGTTCTGGTGTCCATGTCTGCTCATGTAGCACCCCTGCCCACCTGGGACCAGGCCGARCTGACATTCCCATTTCTTGTTGAGCCAGACCTGTCCTTACAGCTCAGCAAGGGTCTGAGGCCTCTGCAGAGGTTTTTGTGTTTGTTGTTGAAGGCAGCTCTGTGCTGGACACCCTGGAGGGGTGGGTGTGAGCATATGTGAAAACACTGGGGAAATGTGCAGGAAGTGTGCAGGAGCCTGAGCTTTTCCCTCTTTTCCTTAGATCTCCCTTGCAGGAAAACAGCTGTGCACCCATGCCTGGGATTCCCAAAGCTCATATTCTTGTTAAAACACCGGGATAAATGAGCTGCTCTGCCCACACCCCTCTGGAAGTGCCTTTTGCCGGTGCCTTTTCAGACAGTCTCTTACAAGTCCTGTTTTTCCTTTTCAGAAACAGATGCAGTCTGATCCGCACAAGCTGGACTTTGGCCTGAAACCAGAATTTCTGAGCAGGCCACCAGGCCCCAGCCTTTTTGGAGCCATCCACCACCCCCATGACCTGGCTCGGCCCTCAACTCTCTTCTCCACAGCCAGTGAGTACTGAGAAGTGAAATCCCCTTCTTGCTCCGTGCTCATTAAAATGCTAATGCTTGCCATGAATTTCCCATATGCTTTGGCTTATGAACTCTCTGCAAGACTTGCCAGGGGCTATTAGTCTATTTGATAAATATTTAAAAATGATTCTGTATGATTTTATGAAAAGCCCAACCTGCTGAAATGCTGTACAGGTAGTAAATGAAGGAACATTTCTTCACAGAGTGATATCTGATGCATGGTGGAGCTGAGATGTTCAAAATAAGCTGTATTTCGCATGCATTTCTTTTTTTTCTGAACTGAAACATTCATTCCCCTGCATTCCTTATCCTTTAACTGGGTGTTTCTGTTTGAAAAAGCAGCTGCTATTTTCATAGGAGGCTGAGCGGTCAGAGCTCATATGAGCTGTTCAAGAAGTGACAGCCCAGGCCAGAGCACAGCGAGTCTCTCTCTGTTTTTGTTCTGGGAATTGACCCCTTTTGCTTTGTTTTGGCAGGTGGGGGGCATCCAGCCGGGACCCCCTTTGGCCCACCACCTCACCACAGCAACTTCCTCAACCCAGCTGCTCACTTAGGTATGTCCTCTCTCAGCTTGTGGTGAGCACAGCTCACACTGACCACTGGGGAGTTGTAGGTTTTCTGTGTTGAGACACTCTGAGTATCCTCTTAACCTTTACAAATTGCATATTTTAGCTGTTTAATTTTAGTCTTTAACCAGACAGACGTTCTGAATACACAAAATAGTGTCACTGACAGTGTGATTTGAAATACTTCTGGGCATTAGAGGAGCAGAGTGACAGGGCTGCTTGGGTTTCACTGGAGTTATGCTTATAACCAGTCCAAAAAATGCCTTAAGGACAGGGCATCAGACCACAGAGGTGTTTCTTTTCCTGACTCCTACTTAGATGTTTGTTTTTCCATTAAAGTGAATAGGAAATATATCTTGAAAATGTTGTGATCTGGCCTCACTAGTAAAAATTAGTGAATAGACATTTAAAACTAGAACCACCCAAGTTACCAGATGTTGTTATTTCCTTCCTAATTTACTGCTTTTGTGATAAAGTGATCTGCTCCTTACAGGAGCATTCGAGATCAAGTCTCTAAATTGGCTTTTTTTGGGGGGAGYGGGGGTCATCAGATTAGTACAGCAGAACACACAATGCAGTTTTATCATTCTGCACTTTGCTGTTGATGGAARATGCTGGCCTTGGGCTTCCTTTTCTCTGTGGTGGTATTTATCAGAAATGGCTTCATCAAAATTTTTAGAGAATAAAGCAAGAATTTGCTTTATATGATTTTCCTGTTGCCTGTATGCATTAACTGAAAAAAATGTTCCAGCGTTTTCCAGTCCGTACTCATTTTTTATGTATTATTAGCAATAAACACCAAGGGAATCACGGAATGTTCAGGCCAGCATGACATATCAGTGTAGCAGGACATTTTATTTATACCCTGGCTCTGGTTTAGGAGACATGGATGGAAGTTTTTTAGAGCACAGTTGCCAGAGTTAATCATAGTCTGACTAGCAGGCACCATTTCCCGAGGAAGACCAYGGAAGGAAATAAAAGGAAGTCAAACTGGAAATGTTTGCAAATTTTAAATGAAGTATCATGTCTATTTTACCATGTTGACTTTCTCTAAGAGGAGGTTTTTCTGGTAGATGGTGCAATGGTATGGGCAGGGACAAAGGCAGGTGTTTGGTGTGCCCGCCCTCAAAGCYCTGCAATGCTGTGGGGGGAGGCTGTTGCAGCGCTGCTGGGCACAGCTGGGGTGCAGTGGGATGGCACAGTGATGCTGTGTCACAGCTGCCCAGCTCAGGGACTTTCAGCTCTTTGTGTTGGTTTGCAGAGCCCTTCAACCGGCCGGCGTCGTTCAGCGGCCTCACCGCCGTGGGCAGCAACGCCTTCGGGGGGCTCGGGAACCCCACAGTCAGTGAGTACCGGGCACGGAGCCTCCTTTGCTCTGCAGCTCAGTGATGGGGACTGGGTGCTGCCTCTTTTACTGGTTCATTAGATCATCTGCCACTAAGAGATGGGAATTCRGAAAGTGACCTTTCTCAGTAAATCGTTTGCTGTTAATTACTTAATAGTTCGGGTTCAGCATAGTGCTAAATGTCACCATTACATTGTTCATTWAAAAAAAAAAACACAGAACCTTTGAGTGTTTGTGAAATTTCCCATAGTTTTGTTGCATGTTCGGAAGTAATTAATGTGTACAGCTAGGGAGCTGTGGATGGAAACTTTTTTTTTCCCCTTTCTCACCAGTTATCCAGGCCATGTGCCTGAAAGAGATCACTAACCTGCATTTCCTAGTCCCGGATCATCAACATTTCTCCAGATTTGGCCAGTCACAAAAAAATCACCCTTACAAAAATCACTCTCTTTTGTCATACTTCAAATCTGGCATGCTTTTGGTCCCATTTTATTTTGGTTCAGGATCAAATGCAATAAGTTCCATTATTTATAGTCCCTATAATGATAATTTCCTGATGTCTCCAAAATATTTGGAATAAGGATCATTGTCACTTTTATCTTGCTCCTTCATCCCTTGTCAATTTTGTCCACAGCATTTCCCTTTCCAATTAAAAGAGCTGTCAGATGCCTGCCCATTTTTAGGAATGAGACCCTCTAATGAATCTCTGTTAATTTCCTTTCCTTTTCCAGCTCCCAATAATATGTATTCATTTTAACTCTGAGTGCTGTAAAAGTTGTTTTGGTAAGTACCTTCACTAGAGCATACCTTTTTCTTAAACCTTTTTGTTTTCCACTTCACCATTTCAGCACCCAACTCAATGTTCGGCCACAAGGATGGCCCCAGTATGCAGAGCTTTAGCAACCCTCACGAGCCCTGGAACCGACTGCACCGAACTCCTCCTTCGTTCCCGACCCCTCCGCCCTGGCTGAAGCCAGGAGAGCTGGAGCGCAGTTCATCTGCTGCAGCTCATGACAGAGATAGAGATGTAGATAAACGAGACTCATCTGTTAGTAAAGATGACAAAGAAAGGTACGAAAGAACACTTCCAAGAATTGTCTAGTTCAAAGCTTGGGGCTCTGTTCCACTTTTAACCCTCCCCAGCCTGGCACATTGCGAACCCGCAGCTTCACCAGAGGCACGCCTGGCACTGTCCCCAGTGTGGCACCACAAACCAGGCACGTTTCCAGCTCAGGTGTTTCCCWCTGCGAGGTTTCTCTTCCCACTTGGAACATGCTTCACCTGCAGGAGCTTTGCTGGAGTGCAGTTCAGGCAGTGCCAAGTGGGAATAGAATCAGACCCACCCACTGTTGCCTTGTGGTCACATTGTCACAGGTGTCTTGAAAGGTTAATGTGGAGATAGCACCTGACAGGATGGAAAAAGGATTCTGAAGTCCATCAGGTGCTTATCTGCACCTTCAAATACTGAAATAACTYGGTAAATCAGACTTTGTCTGCAAAACAAGTAAGCACTTCCTGCCTGCTCAAAAGCAGCCTGACCAGGGACCAGTGATAAAGATGKGAGATGAGAACAGTGAAATGCACCAGGAATGTCATGGGTTAAAACCACAGAGCTTCAKAGCATGCGGTTCATGAAAAGCACCTTAGTTCCCCTCAGAGAAGCCCCTACACTTGCACTGCTGTTACACACCCTCCAGCACAGCTTTTATTTAGKGTTTTGCATGGGCTTGCATGCTCACATGTCCAGGCTGGGAAGGGTTAATGGAAAATAAAACCTGGTCATATTTTTTTTTTTTTTTGGTCAGGACTGTTCCCATTATTCAGTTAATGCAGTAACAATTCCTCTTAATATTGAAATACCAAATTTATAAGAATTTGCCATTCAGCAAGTGTCATGCCTTCCTTGAAGAATATAGAGAGGCTGATTTCAGCTTTTTCAGTTGTGGCTTGATGGCTTTCCTGTTAAGTYTGCACATTACTTTACTATCTAATGGCTATTTGTTTCTAATATTTTAACCTAAAAGAGTATTTAGGAGATGTGCTTTTCTGACTTCTCTGTCACTAACCCAAATATAGGCATTAGTAGCCTTTTCTAAAGGAAGTTATGCTAGCACATTAGATATTCTAAAAATACATGTAAGACCTTTTCTGTGTTCTTCTAAACGAAAGGCGAACTACAGATTCTTTTCACCTACATTTTCCATTTGGAATATTTTCTGTTTGGTAGCATAGCTTCATTATTTTCATGTCTGATGTTAATGCTTCAAAAGAAAATGCTGTTACAAATTGGGGTTTCTGTCCTGCAAAAGGCTTAAGCATGTGAGTAACTTTACTGGCTTGAATGGCAAAGCATTTCAGTTACTATAATCTGGGTAATCTGTAGAATTATGTGATTATTTTGGTTGCTGTGTTGTTGTTTTCTCATGAAGTGTTCCTGCTGAAGAAAATCCCGTGCTGAAAACATTCCTTGCAAGCTGCTTTGGCATTGCCTGAACTCCRTATCATAGCTCAGAGCATGTTTCTTTTCAGTGACTGGAGAGTTTAGCAGTAAGCATCATCCATCCCTCTCACTTGAGCACAATTGCAGCTTCCAGGGAGCACAGTCCTGGTTTCAGCCCTGCAGCGCTGCCCCATGTCCAGCTTGTCCGCTGGACMATTTACTTGCAGCGTGTTTACTCTGTGGCCTGTGAGGATATGCTGAGAATCCCTTCTCAGAGCTGTTGCTCCCTGTGGAAAGAATGTCTGGAGGAGCTGAGAACCTCTCCTACCTCCACCTTAACATTCAGYGGCACCCAGTGGGGTGAGCACAGAGATTTCTAGTTGAGGTCTCAAGCTTCGTTATTTATTTCAAGTTAATTTGCCCAAGCAGGAAGAGCTGGGAATCACACCCAGGGGTTTGATTTAATCTCAAAATCATCTTATCAAGGGTGTAACTTTATCAGCCCWTGTAGCCATTGATCTCAGGTCCTGCCTCCAGTGGGAGGGTCCCTCAAAGGGATCTCTGAGCATGGCTCTACCCACCTAAGGTCAGGGCTGGAGCAGGGTGCAGGGATCCCTGGTCACTGTCCTGGAATCAGCTGTATGGCATGTGCACTGCAGCCCCTCCCAGCCAGGCTGAGAGAAGGGGAATCCCTCCCCAGGTAGCACAGAACTGCAGCAGTGACCCTTTCCTGGCTGCGAGTGACACTGCCGAGTCCTGATTGCTCCTGGAACAYTGTGTGTCCCTTCCWGCTCAGGGTRTTCTATGATTCTGTGATTGATTGCAGTTGTGGAGGGTTTTTTTAAGGACTGTCTTATTCCAGTCCTAAATTAGGAAAGAATCAGTAAAAATAGCAAATATGAAAAGCAGGATTTGTTCCTTCTCTGCGTTATTTTGTTTAAAAGATGTCACTGAACACTTCCAGGATAATAATAATGGCATTTAAGGGTCTGTAATCCTAGAGCATTAAACCAAACCAATCAAAGATCTATTGATCTTTTAATCAATATCAATGAGGCACAGTCCTCAGCATACAAAATTCTGTATTTTCCAGTGTAACACATAGCTTCAAAACTTCTCTTATTTAGTAATAAGTTCACTGGATAATGTGATTTTAAGTTTCTTCTTTGTGGAGGCAGTGGCTTAGAGCTGTTCTCATATTATTAACCTAAGGAGCTCTTGACATATTTGAGGATTAAGAAGTTGTTCCTTCTCTGCCCACTGGACTACATGCAGTTCACTTAAATGAGTAAGATAATCAGGAGCCCCTTGAGATGTTACCAGCACCGTCATTGAATACAATGACATTGGCAAAGGAATTTGTTATTTTGGTTGCACATATATTTTTCATTAATTACAGAAAATGCCTGTTATTTTCTCTTAAGTTTTGTATGTAATTTAAAGTACATAAATTACATGGAAAATTGATTAAATATCAGCAAAAGGACACAATGAGCTTTCCTAGTGAAATAAAACAATTAACGGTGCCTTCTGAGCTAGTCCCGTGAGCAAAATAAATAAAACATTAGCTACTGAAGAGCCCACAAGCCAGTGTCTTCCCAAGAATTGAGTATTCATGTTGAGAATCCTTCACTGGAGTGCCTTGACTTGGTCTCCTGTGTCCAAATCTGGAAGTTTTTACAATCAATGCCTCAGCTCTTGGTGGAAAGAAAGTGGAAGGAAATCAGAGGGAGGATGTGACTTCCAGTCTGTTCAGGTCCAAGACAATCAAGGCAGCAGCTGATCCCAAGCAGTTCATTGTTGGGCAGTGCAGACGAGGCAGGGCTGGTATCCCATGCTCTGTCTTCCAAGGCTTTCCAGGAGTCACATTCTGAACTCCTGGAGGTCTCTCAGACATGGCCATGAAATCAGTTTCAACAGTTCAGCCTAGACACAGCAGAAGATGCATCAGGTGAAATGATAATGATAAGCCTTTCCTCCTCACAGGCATTTGTTCTGCAGTTGCTGCGGTTTTACCTAGAGGTACAAATCTTATGCAGTTCAGCAAAAAAAAGGAGGTAGCAGAAATTGTATAGGTGAAGGAGCAGGTGTCCCCCTGGGAGTCACCCTCTGAGCTGCCCTGCAGCAGCCAGGACTGCTGATCATGTCCTGAGTGTCACTTGCTGGCTCATCCCAGCTCTCTCCCCCAAAGAGACAATGTCAGCTGGAGCTGGTGGGGAGGCCTCACCACTTRCCCTCGTCACAGAATCCCAGAATAGCTGGGGTTGGAAGGGACCTCTGGAGATCATCCACTCCAACTCCCTGCCAAGACAGGGTCACCCAGAGCAGGTGACACAGGAACAGGCCCAGGTGGGTTTTGTCTTCAGAGAGACCTCCCTGGGCATCCTGTTCCAGTGCTCTTGTACCCTCAATGGAAAGAAGTTCTTTCTTACATTGAGGTGGAACTTCTTATGTTTTAGTTTATGGCCCTTTTAACAGCACATTGTCCCTCATCCCACATGGAACAGAATTTCCATGCTCAGCAAACAGCTTGTGTCCAGCACTGAATATGTGGAGCTGTCTTTATGGAGACTCCAACTTAGAGGTCAATTGAAATTAGTAAGAGGTTAAAATCATTGGAACTGAGGGATTAGATTCACCTTGTGATTTTGATTAGTTTTAAATAAAGAAGTTTTTTCATTTAACATAACAACTTCTGGTCAACACTACTTCCTGAAAATAATTGGTGTGGAACCCATTTCTATATTTAGGTTCTTGTTTGCTGCCAGACAATAGTTCTCTAATTCTTTTGAGCACCATAGCTAGGTTTGAAAGAAGGAATGAATTCACAGTGTTCTGTGACTCCGTAGATTGGTCCTGTTCCTGCTCTGCTTGTTTTAACCTAGAGATGGACAGGGTTGGTCATCTGAAGAGCAGACTCCAGGGCTGTTTTCAGAGMCAGTCTGAAGGACGGACAGAGCAGACTCCTCTCTGCTGAGGAGGCTGCCACAAATTCTGTGTGATGGGCAGCTCTGTTAAACACTTGAACTGAGGTCACTGCACACTTAGGGAAGCACCTTCCTGTCACAGAGATGGGTTGGCACCATCAGTACTGGCTTCTTGAAAGGCTTTTGTCTCAGTTTGAARAAGTAAATTGAATTGTGAGAAGTAAATTGAAAAGCTAGACATTTGAAGAGAATAGTGGGGTGAAATTAGTAGTGTACATAGGTCTAGAAATGTTTTTAAAAGTCAGTTTAAAAAGTGATCTATTTTCCTAAATGTGTTCTTAATAGAAGAAGTAGGTAGAATACTATTAACCATGGAATTTGGATTTAATTGCCTCATTTTTGGATGGAATTAGTATGTTTTTACTTTTYTCTTCCTTCTTTGCAAACATTTAAGGCCGCTGTCTTAGAAATACATATYCTAGAGCTAGATTTCCATGGGAGCCTTCTATGGATTTCACTGTTTGAGATCTCAATCAGATTCTTCACAGAGCAGCTTTGGAGATCTGCTGCTGGGATAACAGAATAGGCCAAGTTTAGAGATGGGATGTTCTTCTGGAGTTTTGGGTGTGCCAAAGGCACAGTGCATTTACTGGTGCATATCACCAGCTCTCTGCAAAGCCTCAAGTAGAAAGCCAGACACTCTGATGCTTTGTTTTCTTTGCAGAGCTTCTCATGCCTTCATTTCACACTTGTCTTTCTTGTAGGGAGAGCATTGAGAAAAGACACTCCAGCCATCCTTCGCCAGCACCTATCCATCCAGTAAACTCCCTCGGACATAACCGCAGCTCGAGCGAGCAGATCCGGAGCCATCTGAATCCCGAGGTTCGAGACAAAGAGAAACCCAAAGAACGAGAGAGGGATCACTCCGAATCTCGGAAGGAAATTAATGTTGAAGAGCACAAGGTGAAGGACAACTACATTTCGGAGAAAGAAGGCCTGAGCCATGAAAGCCGAGTGGTGGAAGAGTCTAAGCAAATGCCCAGGGTTCCTTCCCCCTATGCCAGGCCCCCCGTTGTGGAGAGCACCAGGCCCAACAGCACTTCCAACCGCGAGGCCGAGAGGAAGAGTGAGCCGGCGTACGATAACCCGAAGAAAAGCAACGAAGTCAAGGTGAAGGAAGAGCGAAAGGAAGACCATGATGTTCAACCTGAGGGACCTCAGACTCATAGGTCATCTGATCAGCCACCACCTATATCCACATCCAACGTCCATCCAAGTCCTTTAGTGTCTATGCCCATGACTGTAGGTGTGACTGGTATACATCACATGAACAGCATCAGTGGCCTGGACAGGACTCGCATGATGACCCCTTTTATGGGAATTAGCCCAATCCCTGGTGGAGAACGTTTCCCCTATCCTTCTTTCCACTGGGATCCAATGAGAGATCCCTTGAGAGATCCCTACAGAGAGCTGGATATTCATCGGAGAGACCCCCTGGGCAGAGACTTTTTGCTAAGAAACGACCCTCTCCATCGCCTTTCTACGCCAAGGTTGTATGAAGCTGATAGGTCCTTCAGGGATCGGGAACCTCACGACTACAACCACCACCACCACCACCACCACCCTCTGTCCGTGGACCCGCGGCGGGAGCACGAGAGGGGCACCCACCTGGACGAGCGGGAGCGGCTGCACATGCTCCGCGAGGACTACGAGCACGCCCGCCTGCACTCAGTGCACCCCGCCGCCCTGGACGGCCACCTGCCCCACCCCAGCCTCCTCACGCCGGGACTGCCCAGCATGCACTACCCCAGAGTCAGTCCCCCCACGGGACACCAGAACGGCCTCCTCAATAAAACTCCCCCCACAGCAGCTCTCAGTGCCCCTCCACCTCTGATCTCCACCCTGGGCCCTCGGCCCGGSTCTCCCCGAAGGACTACTCCTCTGTCCACAGAGATGAGAGAGAGGCCTCCCTCTCACACCCTCAAGGACATTGAAGCTCGATAAGCAGAGTGAGACTCAATGAAAACCAGAGCGAGAGGGACAAAAACCTTGTAAATGAACATAATATAAAGACCTTCTTACTAGTCATTGATACAGACTGGGGATGTGACCCACTGTACAATATGTATAGACCTGAGTGCAAAGATTTTGAAATGATTTTTTTTGTATATTATATGTTGAAATTTTCCAGATCTTTTAGCCAAGTCCATATGTTCCTCGTGTCTCCTACTCTATTTTATTTCTAGTTTAAAAATTTCAAAATTTGAACTGAAGAACAAGACATCAATCTGAGTGATTTGACTAGAAACAAGCCACCACCAATGTCAACCCTACAAAGCTCTTACAAACCAGAAGTGAAGTCAATTGTAGATATTTATGTAAAAAGATTGCTTCATGGATTAATGGTTCATATATGCAAAAAGGGTAAGATGAAAGCTTTACTTTGTACAAATGTAAATAGATAAAATTAAGTAACATAATACATTAATACTTCTTAAACTGTGCTATTTGCAAACTTAATATTGATCAACACAGACTGCTTATGCTGTGTTACTTATATTGTTATAGACAGCTAAACCCCTTCAACTATGCAATGAATTTTAAGGCTTTTCACAAAAGCCTTTATAACTCAAAGGAGCCTTTTCAACACACAACATAATTAAAGTCATATTTTCCCTGAACAAGCTCATTTATAATATAAACCTATTCCTCTTGTTTGATGAAGAAACAGCCCTTCAGAGGTGTAGTTCTGTCTGTGAAGCCCTGTATCAGGCTGCTGAGGTCACTGTGTGTCCCTTGGATGCTGTCAGGGTTAGTGCTCTGTGATCACTGATATGGAGTTGTGGCAGATGGGGTTTCAGTCATATTTATCTGGGTTAAACGGTAATAATCAAATGCTGGATATTTTCCAGAACTTTTGTCACCTAACATGTCAAGTTTATTTGGGGAAGAACATCTGCTTATAGCCATTCATGTCTGGTTTGATTGCCTGTGTGTCAYTTTTATCTGTACACACTTTTTTTTGTGTTAAGTGATTTTTAGCTGCATTGAAACAAATCCTACAAGAAAGCAAATACTTTTCTAAATGATGGATATGTTTTCACTGTGGAWCAGTAGTTTAATTAATGAACTCCATTGCAGATTTCATAATGGAATTTATTGTATTTCAGTTGGTAATAAAGTCTGTGAATAGTTAACAGGTCAGCCTTGTTGTTCCCTAACCACAGAAGACATGAAATGACATGAAGAACATGGTCCTTTTTAAAAATATGCATCAATCTTCTGAAATCTGTCTTTTCATAACACACTTTTTTATAATGCGTTAAGTTTCTTGTCTAAATATTTGGAGAGAATATGACTTTATCAGAGAGAATTCAATATCTTGTCTACTGGACTGTAAAATATATGTATGAAATAAAACTAGTTCCATTGGTCTTCTAGTGTATTAAAGTGCTATCTGAAGTTGTTACCCTGTTTTGGCAAAAAAAAAGAAAAAAAAAAGAAAAAAGTTAACTACAGACAGTTGTTTCTAATGATCAGAGATCTATTTTAGTAGTCAACTGAAGGTTTAGTTGTGAGCTTCAGATTTTGTGAACTCCAGATGTTGTGCAGTGTTTCTTTTTTTTTTTTTTTTTTTTTTTTACAAACAAAAGGAAAAATACAAAAAAATCCCAACCCTGAGGAATATGTACACTGGAACCATAGTGGTAGCTTTCAGTATTGTAAAGAGATTGTTATATACAAACCTTTTTGCTGTTTATCCTGTATGTAATAAAGTCCTTTCTAGATCCTATGTGAACAGAAAAGTGAAGCGGCTCTCAATCTTCAGCATGTTTCCTCCTCAGMGAAGACTTGTGTAATGTAAATTGTGCCATGTTATTAAAAAATGTGAACTAAACTGCTAGGTGCTTCTTTGTGTGCAGTACCCCATCATTGCTATGGGGAAAAAGTCCTTTTTCCCAACAGTGGGGTTTTGTTCAGAAGGAGTAGCTGTTAAAAACGTAAAGGAAATGGCAAGCTTTTATAAGCCATCTTATTGAAATCGTTAGAGTAATCAGGGAAAAGGAACAAAATGGAGACCAGATCCTTGGCTTGTCCAGATTCTTTAAAATATAGTAATACCCTACTTGGATTAGATTTTAATTAGACCATAATCTTGGTCTTCTGGATGCACATCATTAAAAACCTTCTAAGTTGCTGAAGGAAGGCAGGTCTAAATGGCCACAGGAGGATGAAACTACTGGAGCAAGTGTGAGAGGCCCCATGAGACAGGGTCTGATTGAGAGCATCGTCTTCCAGGCTCAGCTCATCCTTGTTAGAGGAGCCTGACAGTTCTGGCAGCGTCTTCCGAGGGAAGAAACGYCGTCTTGATTGTCCAGACTATGATCCTTGTCCTCCCATGCGCTGAGCAAACTCTTGCTGATGGTCCTTAATTCCCAATTAAGCCAATGAGCCCTCACTCCCAGAGTCCCAGAAAGCATCGAGGCATTTCACTCCCTTTGTATGCAATCCAATTTAAGTGCTCCATGCCTTTGAAGATCTGTGTGTCAARTCTTCTTGTACTGGTGATGCTCAGAGGAATATGCCTGGAAGGTATAGTAAGAGATGAAACAAGATTTTTAATGCTTTTAAAYTTCTTCAGGTGCATTCACTGCTTTTCAGAATTTTGATATAGGGATGTTAGCTTGCAGGTATAGACAATGTGATCTTTTTGAACSGTTTTCCATTCAAGACATTTGTCTTAAATCTTCTATTCCTGAATTCACTAGTGTTAAAAAATKAATTCCATTTAAAGACCATGCCAGATACCATCTGTGGGAAGGAAAATAGTCATGAGAGTATTAATTCTGTCGGTTGTGTGAGATTTTGGTCATAGAAAACCTCAGTGAGCTTACAGCACCCAGGATTTTGCCTTAGGCTTTAAAGACCCACCTTCCCAAATTCCAACTAATTTTCCACGCAGTAGCTTCCTATCACCAGCTGAGATGCCAAGTGCAGTGTATAGGAAAGGAATCTTGGAAAACAATCACATTTGTTGCCCAATGCATTGTTYATTTTAGGCCGTGCTTGGTCCCTTCTTTTTTAACTTCCTATATTTTGTTTGGTTTTCCTTATTAAGATGTAGCTCTAGCCTGATTTTCTGCTTTTCARACCTTACTGCCGCTCTCTTTGCTAGCCCTGTCCTCTTTCATGGCCTATGACAGCTAAATCTTTTATAGGCAGCAATAAACACTGCAGGATTTTTTTTCGGAAGTCATAAACATTTTATATCATTTTTACTTTGCCTGCATGAGCATGTAAATAGTAGTCCTTGCTGGACTGGAAGATAGTCAGATGGAGGTGGGGAAAGATTTTGCTGCAAGYATTTTCATTTGCTGTGGCTGTGCCTTGTGAAGGAAATGTTTAGCATAGTTCTTGCTGATTTGAAGTTTCATTACTGCTTCACACATGCAGGTGACTCTTCTGAAAGGCACCTGGGGCATGGACTAAGGTAACAGCAGTGGTGTTCCATTTACAGAGGAGCTCCTTGGCTTGCTGCTTGGTTTCTGGCAAGAAAGAAAAGCTGTGGTTCAAACAGAGACCAATGACTCCCGTTAGGCAAGGGTTTGTAATTCCCATGGTGGCTTGGTAAAGTCCCACCTGGATAAAGCAACTTCCTTCTTTGGACTCCACCTGCCAGCTTTGGGGTTTACCTGTGCTTGTCTTCAGAAGGTGACTTGGAGCAGGATCCCAGCTTAAATGATCTGAATTGCCTTTGGAGTGTGACTCTGCCTTAACTGGATGGAGCCTCTAACTGAGCTGGTTGAGAAGTGCATGCAGATGAGTGGTGGGACTGCATCCTACCCTTCTGATGTTACAATGCCTCAGATCCTTCTTGCACACTGAAAAACCCCAGTCCTGGCCAATCCTTATGTGAAGTTCTTTGGGTCTGTCTCTTACTCTGCACCATGCTTGATGCCCTGACTGGGGCAGCTGAGCATTGTCTGATGCTGCTATAGTGCAAAAAAACCCTTTAGTAATACCAAAACTCAAGGCTTCAGTCAGTTAGCTGTGAAAGCTGGATAAAAAACTCCACTTTTTTTTTCTGGCTAAGAAGGACCAGAGCTGCATGTGAGGACTGACTGTTCTTCCTGTGCCATGCCTCCAGCTGGAGGGGCTTGGACTGCTTTTGCCCACAGGAAAGGTGGGAGTTCCCAGCTGGCATCTGTTAGGGTCACACCCCTTTCTTTTCCCACAGGTATCTTGCAGCTGAAATTGTATTAGCAAAAAGGTATTTCTGGTCATAAAATACATCCCCCTCCTCATTTGTGCACTGTGTGGCTGCATATAGAAACAGGTATTTATAGACATCAAAATGCACACATGCTGTCAGGTACAGTATCAGGGATGAAGCTGAATCCAGCAAGGAGCAGGTTATGAAATCCTGGTGCCACCCTTTTGATCTCACATCAGCACCTTTTTTTGCTGCCATCTGATGGTCTGGTAATAAAGACTTCACCATAGCATTATCCCCAGTTTATAGAAGTACTGCTGGGAACATAAAACTCAGTCACCAGTGTRATGCCAGGCAACTACTGCCTGAGTGATTTCAGGAGTCACCCAGGGCAATTGGATTACTGCCCAAGTCACCGGAGAACCGAAAAGGCCTAAATCAAGTAAATTGAAGTCAGTGGTTGTAGATGAAGAATTTCTGGGTTGCTCTTTTGGTTTTAAGATGCACTTTTAAATTTCCATATTATAACTTGTGGTATCTTAGACTGCTRAACTTACCTGTGAAGGAATGGGTTCCACCTGTTTACTGATAATTCAAGTATCTCAATTATTGACCCAAACTGATAAGGCCTGTGGTCATTCTGGTTCCTAAAGGCAGATTTGCTGTGTTTTACCACCTCATGTGGCCTGTTTGATTATCATATTGTATGTATGTACTCAGTACTGAAACTYACTCTGAGTGCAGCTTTTTTTTCTTGGTTGAATTTATATGTTTCTCTACTGAAAAACTTGCATTGAGCCCAGGAACAGAGCCATCCACCCTCACTAAAATCATCTTTATTTCAAGAAAAGAAAAATTAAGTGAGAATTGAATCAGCTCATTACATAAAGAATTTACCTATCAAATACACAACCTGTTTATAAAATGTATATTTTGTTTTGCATCTTCAAAGCCCTTATAACTAGTTTCCGTTGAATTAATGTTGTTGTGGGGGTTTGTTTTATGCTGTTTTGTGCTGTTTTCTCCTGTCCCCCTGTGTAAGTGGCAGAAATCCCAGCAGCGCRGTGGCAGATGCTGCTCAGGCTGACTGAGGAATGACCTTACTTTATCACATTTAATACAAGGGACTAGAAGTAGTCTGTACCCAGAGCATTCAGCTTGATAAAGGCAATTGTATTTTGGAGAGTTAAGCATGAATTGTGTGATGCTATGGTCCAGCAGAAATTCCATTAGCATCAAAAGCTTGGGATTTTTTTTCTTTCACAGACAACTCAAAATGCAAGTATAAACTTCCAAGGATTTTCAGGAAGTGTTTTTTTTTTTGGAGGGGCTCAGTGTATCTGGGGTAAAAATGATGAATTTGGAGATTAAAAAAAAAAAAAAAAAAGAAGAGGGGGGGTATCAAGCAATATCTAGTTATTGCCCTCCAAAAGGAAATTTTTGTCTCAGGTAATGCTGGAACAGTGAAGCAGAACTCGATTTATTTTAGCCTGTTAGAAAAAGATGTTGTTCTGCAGCAGCACCACAAGAGGGTACTTAAAGAGTGCCTGAAATACGTGTAGGCTGAAAGACGGGACGGCTCTGCTGTTCTGGGCAAGGTGAATGTAGCTGTAAATTATTTTTATGACAGTCTGATCTGTGAGGAGCTCTCCTGTCCCCCTGTGTAAGTGACAGAAATCCCAGCAGCGCGGTGGCAGACGCTGCTCAGGCTGACTGAAGAATGACCTTACTTTATCACATTTAATACAAGGGACTAGAAGTGCTCCGTACCCAGAGCATTCAGCTCGATAAAGGCAATTGTATTTTGGAGAGTCAGGTGTAAATTGCATGGTGCTACAGTCCAGCAACAAAGCACATTGCTTGTGTTGAGGGAATAAAAGATGCTTCTCTACAGAAAATAGTGAGTACAGCATGAGTTAGTGGATGTCAGCTCAAGGAGCTGGGCTCAATGATCCTTGTGGGTCCCTTCCAACTCAGGAGATTTTATGATTCTGTTCGATGACCTCCTCAAAGTCTCAGCACATCTATCTGTTTTTCCCATTACCTGGCTTTTGAAAGGAGTAGCCAAGACTAAGCAAGAGAATTGCATCATTTGGAGATGGGGAAAGAAATTAATGCCAGGTTTTCTAAGGACATAGATGAAAAGGGTTATTGAAAATCACAGTGTTGTCTGTGTTTGAGTTTAACAAGTTTGTTTGTTTTTGTTGTTTTTTTTTTTGCT